GCCTCGGCTGCTGAAAACAGGTTTCTGGCCTTTGTTGACCAAGTCTGTATTTGATACAATGTTGCCGTCTAGCTGGCTGAAGCTCCGCTGAGTAAAGCAGGTGTCTGGGTTTTTTTTAGCTTCTTTATTCGCAACATAGTTGCTGAGAGTTCCAGCTGAGAGGCCGGCAAGTCAGGCGTTGGAGTTCTCCGTCACTGAAGCAAGCAAGCCTCCCTGTTCACATCAGCTGCCTGGCTGCTGGCCGCCATCTTGGCTGCCAGTTAATTTTCATATCTCGGCCCTACTCTGTGAGTGACAGGGGGATTATCCAATGGGAAGCGTAGTGGTCGTACGCCAATTACCATGTTTCTCTTTTATTAGTGTAGATGGGAGCTGGGGACATAACCACGAAACGATGTACGTTGAGACCGATGTAACCCAAGGACTATCTGTAGTTACTGATGGCTAGTATGCCTCTATACAAAACTGGATCTTCAAATACCAATTTGTTGGTATGGAAAAGAGTTAGTGACTTATACATTCGTGCTTATTGCACTTTTTACAGTTACAGTTTTTCCTTCAGATAAATCTTAGCAAGATAATCCATAGGAGTATAACTTCAAAAATTAGGAGAAAGGACCTTGAACAATGAAATAATTGTTAGTTTTAAAGTAAGCTATATGCAATTTTCAGAGTGTCAATTACTGTATATTGTGTTTTTTTAACCCTTATGTATTCCCTTGTTTTTTCCCTTGTGCCATATTCCCACCCCTTTTCTAACACACACTATTCCCAATTCTCTGGATTTTGAGTAAAATGTGTGTGTGTTATTTTATGTCTTCATTAACATCATTTCCTATCTGGCAGGCTAAAATGCTAACAGCAGCAGAAACAAACCAGGGACTTAATACTTGCAAGGAAAAAGAAAAATCTTTTCTAATGAAGGGGCTACTTTTCTTGCCTTTCCCACTGTTACATGATGCCTATGGAATTGTTCAAATAGAAATTCCTAAATCTCATTTCTACTGTAGCGTTTATGTGCTGACCCTTCATATCAAGGCTGCTCTGACAAAGTTTTACATTTGCTTTTGTAAATTGCTTCATTAGAATATTATATATCCTAGTAGAGAAATGCTCTCAATATATGTACCCACTTAACTTTTCAGGTCTAAGATTACATATTTGGCTGATACTTGTTAATTTAAAACACCACTCAACTTTTCACACCTGGGGAATTTGGAAAGAATGGTGCATGAATCATCCAGAATCAACACCACAATTTGATTTCTCTTTGAAAAAGATTAATGAAAAATGCAAACTAAAAGTCACTTGTGATAACTTTAGCTAAAGAGAGTGATTTTGATAGAAATAACTTTTTAAAAACCTTAATTTTTCTTAAAATTTTTTTTTAAAAAAGTCTGGGAATTAGCAATGCCAGTATTAACATTAAATAACAGCCATTTGTAAAATAACTTTGATATTTCTGAAAATCAATAGAACAGAAAAATCTAAGAAAATTCTCTCTTTAAATAAGTCAGAGTGTAGATAAACATAACTAAAAAAAAAAAAGAAAATCTGAGATTGCTAATTGAGGTAAGGATCAGACCTGGTAAGTATTAGGAGTGAGTTAATAATGCCCTAAGATGATATGTACTTAATGAGACTCTAACCCCAGCTGCACAAAAATATCATGTGCTGTCTTCTAGTTCTCTAAAATATTCAAAACACTTTCAAATATAAAATTTGTTTGTTTGTTTGTTAGTTTTTCAATGTTTTTATTTTCTTTTTATTAAATTTATTGGGTGACATTGGTTAATAAGATTAAATAGGTTTCAAGCATACATTTCTATACTTGATACTTGATCTGGATATCGCATTGTGTGCCTACCACTCAAAGTCAAATATAAAATTTAGTAGAGATTTTTTTTGTCTTCTAGTTAAGAACAGCATACAGATTGGACATCTGGAGGAAAGATTGCAAATTGTAGGCTCTGAAGGCAGGATACCAAAGATGAACTTCCTGGACATTTAGTTTTACCTAGAGCTGGTTCTGGTCACATGGGTCTTTTGTTGCAAGTTGTAATTATCTCCAATAGTAGTGAATTTATTAAATGGATACACTGTTGTTCAGAAAAATCTGACAACAGCTTCAGGTGGAGCACAGCACAGATGTTCATGTCATTGCATCACTGTTCTTATGATTCAACTATTCCATTACCAACTAACAAATTATTTCCCTGCATCCATGATGCTGATTACTTTGAGGAGCTAGATTGCTGTTGCATAATGGTGCATCAAAGAGCATATCTGAAATTTAATAAGTTTTGGATACTCTACTAGAATTTTACTGTACTTGAATTCAGAGGATATTAGGAAAATACATTAACCAAAAAGATAACAAAAGATGGGGGAGATGAAGAGAAAACTATTGAGAAATGGACTTTCTAATTTTATATATTAAGGTAAAAGAGCTAATGATAAACTACCATGTAAATGGTAAAAGAGAGGACTTTTGAAACAGAAGGGGCAATCTTTAAGGGGAAGTCAAATAATTTAATTAAATAGCTTAGCAAAATCTGGTAATATGGGGAAAGGAAAAGCATTCCAAAGACTTCTTCCCTAGCGGAGACAGGGGAAGGAAAAAAATTGAGGTGAAATTGTTCTAAGGATCATATTTTCATAGTTAATGGATGATGCAGTGGGGAATGAAAGTTCTTGGTTAAAGAAATAGTAGTTACCTTGTTATCAAACAGTAGTAGAGAAGTATATTCTTGGTTCTGAATTCAGGAGCAAGGGAATAATCTTTAATGGGTCTGAGAACTTCCAAATTATCATGAAGAAAAATGAAAATAATAGAAACTTTATCAAGTCAAAACTAAGAAAAAGAGAAATGCAAGAATTATAGAAACATAAAATAAATAATAAACTGAAATGGAGAAATATCCTGTATGTTTGCAAGGGGGGATTTTATATCACAAAACGTCATTTGTCATAAAAACAGCCACAAAAACAGATTTTTTTTTTGAAATGAGGAAAAAAGATCTGAAAATATAAATGAATGCCTAAGAGTAGCCAGAAAATATTTTCAAAAAATAAAAACAAGGGAAACTTGGTCTTTTAGATATCAAGCATTGATATACAATTATTTTAATTATTCTGATATTGACAGTACTATAAATAAAATTGATAATGGCAAATAATTAAGAATCCATAATAGATCAGAAATAAAGGATATATATCTCCATGTGCCTATTTCAGACTACCTTTTATAAGTAGGAAAAGGATGGATTATTTAATAAGTAAAGCAACTATAATTGATTACATATCTGAAGGGAAATGAAACTAAAATCCTACCTCATATCATGTACATAGAAATATATGACTAGATGAAAATTTACAAATTTAATTTGACACAAGTTACTATAAATGAAGTTAAAGGATAAGTAATAGAATTGAAAAAAAATGCATCATGAAGGGCGGATAGAGGACTATTATCTATAATACTAGAGACCCAGTGCACAAAAATTTGTGCACTGGGGGGGTGAGTGGTCTGTCAGCCCAGCCTGTGCCCTCTTGCAGTCTGGGACCCCTCAGGGGATGACTACCTGCTGGCTTAGGCCCGCTCCCCGGGGGCTTGGCCTGAGATGG